TATATATATATAACTTTCAAAGCTTGAAAATGGCCACTTGAATAAGTATGAAATAGAATAAAGATGAAGATGAGATATTCTCATCAGTGTTGTCACCGGTATTTGCAGTTAAATTCAGCTATTTCAGATAATAAATTTGAGGTAAATCAGGCATCGTTGTGCTCTTGTTTGTGCCACAGAAATAGCTTAGTAAATTCAAACATTGTAATTCTTATCTGTAGTGTGTATGAGTACCAAGTAGCTGCTAAGCTTGTCTAAAAGACGCTAAAGAGCTCTGTGATGAATTGAGCTTGGCTAATTCTCCCACTCAGGACATACAAATACACTTCCCTCCCCCCTTTACGGCAGTCATTAGCACCTGACATCCGTGATGGCAGCAATCAGCATCTGTCTGCATTTTGGAGTGGTGAAAAGCTCTGACATCCCCCCATTTTCACGCCTCTTAAGACTCTTTCATGGCCACAGAGGGGCTATGACATGCTTTGTTATGTAAGGTATTACCTTAAGTGTCCCGAGGATGCACAATCAAATAATGTGTGTGTAGACAGACAGAGATGGGTGGGGTTCCAATTAGTCAACAAAAGGGGAAAAAAAGTGAAAGAAAAACAAAAATAGGCACTCATAGTTAAATAAAAAATGAATCATTTAAATAATAGTCGACAGAAATGAACAAACAAAAAGCAAATGTAGTAATGATAATTCTACATGAGAAAATACACACGTTTGTGAGTTATTTGTTACAGAAAATATTAACATCAAATACCTGCTTGATATTGGTTGAACTGATTTTCATGTAATTTTTTATGATTTGGCAACATTGTGTGCAATCATGCTAATAAAATGTAGAAAATAGCCTATATTAAAAAAAAAAAAAAAAAACGAGCTTCTTATATTAATGATTCTACTAAGATATTTGGTTCGGTGATGTTTATATTTATATTAATGTTTATATACATCAATATATCTTTGCAATTAATAGCACTTTACCCAAAGTCACCATGAGCCAAATTACAATTAGGATCTGACACAGACTTTCAAAGTGCTCTCATTAAACTCTTATAGCAGATGTTTCTGTCTACTTCACTTCCCTTTGAACTGAACTTCTTTATGACCCATTGGCTGTATCTCTGTCTGTCTGTCTGTCTATCTATCTATCTATCTATCTACACGCACATACATACATACATATAAGCTTATTATCTGCTTTTTTTTCTTTCTTTGGAAAAGAAAAAGACCATGACCACATCTTTTTCATGATATTTACTGACCGTTCTGAATTTCAGACATACAACATTGTAATTTCCAAACAGCATTTTACACTACACAATTGTTTTTTCTTTTTTTTTAAACAAAAATAATATTAAGTAGCAGCAAAAGCAAACACCGAATAAATAGACATTTTAACAACAAAGCCAAGAAAACCAGTCTGTTCTTGGTCCTCTGTACGCAGACATGAGTTTTCAAGTCAAAATATATCAAAAGTCTAAAGAACAGCATTTCCAAATGCGTTTAATGTGGCACAATTGACAAGCACATTGTCTTTTCTCAAAGCGGAAAGAAAACAAAGACCCTCAGATCAGCAGACGGACTTTTCTTCAATTAAACTGAAGCAGGTTTATTATTTTGTATTTGCATCCAAGTTGACTCACAAACAACATTCTAGTTAGTGCCACTTGCTCATTACATTCGCTCAGTGTTCTAGTGTTTTTCTGGTGCTCGCAGGTACAGGGGGCCATCATCTGGGTCAGGGCGTGATCGTGCAAGACTTTAGAAAGCGTCCCATCACTCGCTCACCAGCACGAGTAAGAGAACAGTGGGTATTGGCTCCAGTCCCCTACATTTCCGTGGTGATAGCTGTGATGGATGGCCTGGGTGCTGTATTCGGTGGGTAGGTGATGATGGGGAGGTGGAGGAGGGGGGTATTGAGTGGACGCTGCCCCGCTCCACTGTCCCAGAGATTGTTCTGTGCTGTAGGGTGTGTAGAGAGGATGGTGGCCCAGCATACCTGGCTTGGCCTGGGCTATAGCCATGTTCAGCACCCCGGCGTAGTCCTGGTGCCCCGCTGAGGCGTGTGGTGGGCAGGGAGGCAGGCCAAACTCAGAGGCGGAGGGCTTGCTGGAGGTGTCTTGATCGGGCACGGTGGCAACCTCCGGCACACGGGACTCAAAGCTGGAGCGGCTTCCACATCCACTGCTGCTGCCAACACTGGACGAGGACGGCGAGGGGGACTTGCCGTATTCATGAAATCTGCTAAAAGATTCAGAATTTTACATCGAGACATTGACATGGGAGAAAATGGCTTTATAAGTCTTGTTTGAGGTCAGTAGCCTGTACCTGTATGGCTGGTATGTGTTCTGTCCCGGTACGAGCTGTTCGGAGCTGTACATGTCCCGAGGGTCCGAGCCCAGAGGGGACTCAGCACGGAGAGCATTGCTATTGTCCCGGTCGCATGCACCTCCCCATGGGGAGTAGCGCTCGGCCTTCACCTCCGACTCCTTACGGCCCACATGTTCATCATCCAGACCCTCCTCGCATGAGGACTGCTGGATATCTGAGGAGATAAAGATCAAGGAGACTTTAATAAATTACAAATACAACAACTATTTGAGATTTTTTTTTATAAAAATCATCAGTACTGGCTGCTAGTACAAGCTGCTAGTTAATGGCTCAAAAGCCTACAAAACCATACAGAAATGCACGAAATTAAAGACCATTACCTCGTGGGCTTTCATGTTCGGAGTCTTTTGACAAGTTGATCTTCTTTACAACTCTCTCAGGATCAGCCAGACTTCTGTTTGCTCGTCTGTCAAAAAAAAAAAAAAA